AGGATCGTTGTCCTGAGTGCAGAGAACATGAAGGCCAGACAGAAGGACATGGTCTCATGCAGTCTAGCAGGCAGGCTTGTTTCCCAAGGCATGGTGAACATCACCTAGTCTCCCTCATTAAAAGGGATCAGATACTAGCATGGTATTTAATGTCTTTTGAAGGGAGCACTATAAAAAGTCAGTGAAAAAGCTTGCATGATCTCATACATAGAATATTAAAAAAAGAAAACCCTCAGGTTAAATGTACAGAGAGCTCAGTAAAACTGGTTGTCAGATGGCTGGGTAAGGTGTGGGGAGGGAGGAAAGAGAGGGGACAGACACAAAGAAACTAGCATATAGGACAGATGGCTCTGTGGGAGTCTACAAGGTGTGACAATTAATTATGTTAGGGATATTTTGTTGGTTTACAAACGAGTAACCGTTATCTGCTCTTGCTACCAAAATGCAAGTAGAGAAGGTGACAGGAGGGAACTGGTTAATCCACTCCTGGTAACCTTTCTACTATGTAGATGTGACCCTCAAAGATGCACAGCACAAAACAACACAGAACGAATGGTGGGAACTGGAAGAAGAGACTGGGCTTAAGTGGACTGGTCTGATTCCCTTGCTCCCACTGGGTCCCTAAACGTCTCTGCTGGAAGCCAGGGGGAACCTCCCATTAGACAACACTAGGAAGGAGCTGCCCCCACCCCTGCACAGCCCCACCGGGGAGGCCCTCTTTTTTCCGGCCTTTTTCTCTGGTTTTAACCTGGGATTAGAATGTCCTGGTTTGAGAGAAAGGGTCCCCTAGGATACAGAAGACTCGAGGATCAGGGCTTAGGCTAGAGGGTGAAAACAGCTTTAATCCACAGTGTAGGATCTGCACCTGAAGGCACCTGGGGGTTCCCAGTAAGGGAGAAGCTAGTTCGATGCCCACATTGGGAAACAGCCATCGAAACATTGGCTTCTAAAAGCCTGGAAGCTGAGCTGGCAAGTTCCCATGGGCAAAGCTTTGGGTGTGTTAGAGGAAGTTTGAAGTGAGGCGCTTGCTTCACAGGCTGGGAGGCCTCTGAGCACACCTTGGCTGGGCCATGAGGAGGCTGCCTTCCTTGAAGGCTTGAGCAGGAGCAAAGGGCAGACGCCTATTACTCGCTTTAGCCCTGAGAAAGCTACATCGTTTCTTCAACCCGTCTGGAATTGATTGTATCATTAGCAAGTTACAACTCGAAGGTAGGGAGTTTGTTTAATAACAAGCATTCAAAACGAAAGGAGTTTAATTGTCAGTGGAAGTGTGAGCTTCCATAAAAGGAAGTCAGGCTCTCTCAAGCAGGTTGTCACAGGGAGCTTAATCATCTGTGTTTTCCTTTTGAATTATGTTTTTTTTTCCCCCAGTTTAGATGAAAGGTTAAGTAACCGTTTTTCTTAGAATCTCTGGGTTTGTTATCACACCCAACCTTACTTTTTTTTTTTTTTTCAAAGTAAGGAGATACTAAATTATCAGGCATATTTTTCTAGGAATTTCTCTTCCAACTGAAAAGCCTGTTTTTCCAACTAGTTTTTTTTTTTTGTTTTTCTTGTTTTTGTTTTTTTGTTTTTAAGCCTAAACTTGGCATTGAGGTGGACTTGGAGGATGTGGGGACTCCCAAAGCGTTCATTTCTTCCTTAATTTGATCTGCTACTAGAGATACAAAATATGTGGCCTCTGGTTTTCTTTTGTCATGCAAATCAATATTCATTTAAATAGCACTAGTAATTCAGAGCCCTGAATACGTTACCGAGTCCACACCTGCTCTTCTGTGCACTGCACAGAGCCTCTGGAACTCTGAGTGAGGGGTTCTATGTTGGGCTCTTTGTGGGAGAAAAGCCTTGCAGAAGTTTAGAGACAGAACCTGGGCTTCCCAGGGCGGAAGTGTATGCCTGGGACCCTGACCATGCACAAACCCAGAGTCTCATGAAACATTCCAGTGGAAGGAAAGGTATTAGTTGGCCGGCTCAGATGTCCCTGGTATGTCTGTCTGATTTCTTGCTAACAGGCTCTGGGTTTGGTGCTCAACCTTCTATGCAGTGGGACTTCACTGTCTTGCTGCTGGACTCATGTACTGTAAAGATCTCCCCTCTCCTTTCCCTGCCCCCTCTCTTCTTTCTCTGAGATCTGAGCAGAACTTTTGAAGGTGGAAGCATAGGCTCATTTGAATTCTTTCTGCTCTTGAAGTGTAAGGGAAGAGGTGATCCTCAGAGACTTTGGAGTCCTGGCCTGAGACTGGACCCCACTTGGGATGTATCCGTGTCATATATCATCTGTGGTTGCTGAGCAGGGGTGAAGCTGGGCTCTGTGGAAGGGCACAGGGATGGGTGGAGTTTCTATAACTTGCTTATTTGCTCTTTCATGGCTATGGGCGCTTGCCGTTCTGAAGGATCATCTCGGTTCTTATGGAGTTGGGTCTAGAAATGCAAGGAAATTTCAAATCCTGTGACTCAGGTCTCATCATGAGTTACCACCAGATGCAGGACAGACGGTGGCGGTTCTGTCCTGTGTGCAGGGCAGGATCCTTCCTAGGTCATTCTACCACTGTGACTGGACAGACAGCTCAGAGTTTACCTTCTTAAGGCACATGCAAAGCAGAGTGGCCATAAATTAATCATCCCTGTGTTGCCTCTAGTGGATTTGACATAGGTAATGAATAAATAAATGTGTACTGGCATCTCATCCTTAGGAACTATAAATATTTAAGGTTGAGCATGTCAGATTAGTAGCGTTAGAAAATATTTTCCTTCTTCAGATTCAACACAAACCAGCCCAGTGACAGCCTTAAAAGTAAACGGAAAGACGTAGGGCACACACATCCTAGTCCATAGGCATAGGGCACACACATCCTAGTTCACAGACATAGGGCACACACATCCTAGTTCACAGACATAGGGCACACACATCCTAGTTCACAGGCATGGGGTACACACATCCTAGTTTGCATCCAGGTCAGTTCTCAGCTCTCTCTCCTCTCTGGACAGGAAAGGTCAAGGGCTTGAGTGGGAGCTGAGGCCTAATCTTTGGTGTTCATCCCCACCCCTACCCCATTCCTAGACCTGGGCTAGCCTTCAGAATGTGGCCCTCAGGAAAACATTCTGGCTGAGGTAGGTCAGGGTTCTGGCCAACATGCTCAACGTGACTTTGCCACCTGTTCACATTGGAGAAAGGTGTTTTGTTCATTGGTATAAAGATAGCCAGTTTCTGGTGGGCTGACCAGCTCAGATACGTCTCAGGTCCAGATCCGGGGCTCTGAATTGGCCCAACCCAACATCTACCCCATCGATGAACTGCTGATACATGAAGGTCATTCCTACAGATCTCAAAATACAGGTTCTCTACGACACAGGACAACAGGATATCTCAGAGGAGCCCCAGTGAGGGTCCAGTATCAATAGAGTAGCAGAAGCCAGAGGCCTTGTATCAAACCAGTGAGTCACTGCAGTGCACATTTGCAAGCAAAGTGTGAGCAAAAGGGTATACAGTGGGGACACACTGTGACACAGTACGGCTTCCATAATGAGATTTTTTTTTTCCTCTGTTGGTGGGGGCAGGTACGAGGAGAGAGGGGATGAGTGGGATTGGGGTTCATTGATGTGAAATCCACAAAGACCCAATAAAAAATTTAAAAAGAAGAAGATAGCCAGCTTCAGCCTCAGGCTGTCCTTTCAAAGAATAGAAACAAAACAAAACAAAACAAAAAAAACAAAAAATACTGGGAAGCTATTATGGCAACCTTTCTCTACCCTACACTCTTCAGTACTGCTTTCCAGTTTTAAGTCTCCATGGAGTTGGGCCCTTCTGGCTGTGTTGTGTCCATTGAGACTCCCAGACTCTCCTTGATTCTGTTTCTACAGCCCTCCCTCCCCTCACAGGATCACTTTCTGTGTATATTTATAGAGGTTCTTTCCCCCTCTCCCTCCTTCTCTCTCTCCGTCACACATAAACTTAAGTAGAGATTGAGGTTCAAGGGTCAAAGGTCAGAATTCCGTTGGATGTTGGAGGTGTGTCTAAACCTTATGGTGATGATATTAGAGCTAAGAGGTCTGACCAGTTTAAAGGTCAGTGTAGCCTTGTGGTGATCATCATAGGGAGTGACTGGTAAGATAAGGAGGGGTCGTCATGATGTGGCATTATGTCTGTGTCACACACACACACACACACACACAGACACACACACACACACACAGGGGAGGGACTTTAAACATTAGGAACAGAGAGTCCTGGGGGTAGAGTCATGCTGCTCCTCCATTGAAGGGAGAAGCCAGTGAAGATGGTAACTTGCTTGCCCTCCCGCCGCTCGCTCGGAAGGAGAGTTGGCAGCTCTTGGCACTTGGGGTAATGGGTGTTCTCTAAGAGAAGCTGAGAGCTGTGTGGCAGCAAAGGTATGATTGCAGTAAAGTTTGGGGGGCAGTTATTTGAAACAGAACCTCACCTTGTACCCATGGCTGACATGGAGCTCACTGGTAGACCAAGCTGACCTCAACCCCCAGAAATCCGCCTTCCTCTGCCTCCTGAGTGCTGGGATAAAGGTGTGGACCACCACGCCCAGTTAAGTGTGTGTATTTTTAAGAAGAGTGGACCCCAGGCAGCCCTTCCCTGGAGGGGTCAGAGGTTACAGCAGTAGTGCGGCCCCTCGGCAGTTGGAGAGAGCTGTAGTAGTTGTCATTCGTCCTTCGTGCTGGGGAGGCAGGCTGGTCTCCTCCAGCTGCACGTGTGCAGACAGTTGCCGTGAAGGCAAGAACCCTTGCCTCATCCTCTGATTTTTTTCTGGAGTGCTTGGCAAAGTGTGTGTGTGTGTGTGTGTAGACTTTTCTCACCTGTGCGTGTACCCTGCCACCGCCCCAAGTCTAGGACAGCCACCTTGAGTTTGCATCAAGCCCCTCATTTCAGAGGAAATGTCCAAACCCTGATGGCAGGTCCGTGGGTTAGGGGAACTCCTGGGTTCCTGGGGTTCCTGGAGCACGGCTCACCAGTTTTCTTCTCTTTCTTTCAGAGTGAAGCGCTACCGGCTCCATCACTGCCGAGTTGAAAACTGAATCCATTCAAAGGAGATGCTTAGCATGTTTCCAACCAACTCTGCCCTCTTTCCTCTCAACGGGAGCAATTCTACATTCTGAGACTTCTGTGAATTAGATAAGGAACCAAGAGGCAGGTCCGCCTCTCAGCTGTCCCCATCCGCCTGCCCTCTTCGCACGGTTTGCGTTGCGTTTCGTTTCCTTTGTAAAGTAACGGACTGACGGAGTACACTCCGGGAGATTGGACGTCTCCGACGTTGGCCTCCACAAGTCCTGGACATTGCTGTCATTTCTCTTGTTACTTTTTCATTTTGACAAAGCGGATTAATCCCTCAGCATGCAAGGAGATGCTGTAATACACATGGAAGTGGTCAAATCTGGTATTTACTGGCTTACAGTCAAAACTACCACAGTCCTACCTCAGTTCAGGGTGAAGCCGGATTGTTTGGCAGGGTACAGGGCGGCTCTGCCCCAGGATCACATACTGACCTCCATCTCTCTGTTAAGTAGATGTGGACCACAGTCCAGGTACCTGAAACGTTTCCCTACGCACAGAGCCCGGTGTGGGACTGACAATTCTCCGTGGGATTGGACTTGAAGATGGATTAATCCTAGTAATTCCTAAATGTGATTGGAGCAGCCTCCTTTTGGAGATCATCAGCCGTATTTGGGGTAGGGGTGGGGAAGGGTGGATCTTTCTTTGTATCTTTACGAGGCTTGTTGACTCCTCTCTCTGTAGATGTTCATGTAAGTACTTCAGATTGCAAAAGCCTTTTCTCCCCCCTCCACAAGCCTCCTGTCTCTGAATCTTAGCTCGCATTCCTCAAACCAAAAACTCAACGTAGGCATGCTCACAGCTCAAGGCTGGTTTGGGTTTTTGTTTTTTTTAAATATATTATCTCTGACATAATGTTACTTTTGTTGGCCAACAAGGTTGCCCTGAACAGGAGGGGAGGCATTCCAGCCGTTGTGCTATTAATGGCAAAAAAAGAAAACCATCTCCCTCCCTACACTCGCCTGTCAACGGTTCTTGACAGAGACTACCCTGGTTCTGTTGTCAGTGTTCTGGAAATGTCAGTGTTGTGGAATTGTTTCACATGTCACCTAGAAGGGCTGAGCTTGCCGGCAAAATCGCCATCGCCTTGCTGCTCCGTCACAGGGCTGGAGGCCCTGCCTCCCTGACCCCCACTTCCCAGTGCCTGTCTCCATAGTCCATAGAGGCTACATTAACTCTTGGAAATGTGAGTTGCTGGTTTATTTTTTATCGTTGTTTTTGTTTGGGAGAGTATATATATATATATATAAATATATAGATATATATCACTATAGAATAATGCATTGGTAAGATAAAGAAGGGGCTTTTAGAGAACGACCAAAAAAAAAAAAATTCCATGTCTTAAAAAATATATTTAACGGCGATGCAGCTGTCTTCCCGCTTCCATTGCTGAGCTTGTAGAAGAAGGTTGTATTGCCAGACAAAGTTGAATGTAAATTGACCTCCCCCCACCCTGCACGAATTCTCAAGGTTTCCCTTCCTGCAGTTACACACCTTAGCAGTACACAGCACTTGGGTGGAAGTCCATTCTGGTGTGTGCTATACTTTACTGAGATGTTAAAGGGTCTCCTGAAATCTTACCTAGTGTTGACGAGGAACCTGTGCTGTTTGCTGTGTAACTGAATCCCCCAGGGACCTTAGAGCTGATCTGCTGACTGCAGCGCGGTGAGGCAGTTGTGACATGCCCTCCATGCTAGGAACGGTCACTGCAGGACACAGATGGCACATGTCCCCGATGCAGCTGACTTGAGCAAAAAGAGAAATCAAGAATACATTAAATTCCCCTCATCCTGTACATTTCAAGAAGAGCAGGCATATGCAATATTTACATCCTTAATTTAGTTTACAGTAATGGAACCAAAATGTGTGAGTGTTACCTTTGCCACACTTCATGCTGTATATTGGGTCTTTGTACATTTTTTGCTTGACTTAATCTTAAATTTAAACTATTTTTTTGCTATATAAACTTTAACAGTTATTAAACAGTGTTTTCTTTGGGTACATGTTTCCTGGATATCAAGATGTTAAATATATTTCTCGCTATTGTGTTTCAAAAAGAGACTCACCCTCCCTGTTGTCTTCCGCTGTACATGCTGTATATAGGGGTCACGTGATGCCGCTGAAGACAAGGATAAACTGGAGTAGTTTAGTATGCTGTATTTAGTCTGTATTGACCATGGATGCCCTCCTTAATAGCCATATGCAATAAAATAAAAATACATTATTTATGAAATGAATACAGATTGGAGGATATTTTTCTACACAGATAACCAGTTTAACTTAGAACAAGTCTCATCCTGGATGTCTGGCATTAACAAGCACTGTGGATTCTTTTGTTTGTTTGGTTTGGTTTTGGTTTTGGTTTTAAGACAGCATTTCTCTCTACATAGCCCTGGGTTTCCTGGAACACACTATGTAGACCAGGCTGTCCTCAGACTCACAGAGATCCACCCACCCACCTTTGCCTCTCAAGTGCTGGGATTAAAGAGACACACCTCCACCCCTGGGCCCACTTGGATGCCTTTCCATTTTGATTTTATTCTAAACTGAAAATGGCTCTCTGTCATAAAATTCAGTTTCTGACAAAAGCAACTTGAGGGAGGAAAGTGTTTATTTTGCCTCACACGTGCAGGGTCGGGTCTGCAGTGGCAGGAAGGTCAGAGCAAGAGCTTGAAGCAACAGGTCACAGCACAACTGGCTCATGCTCTCTCCCCACCACCACTACCACTCTTTTTGTTTATTGTTTGTTTGCTTTTTGTTTTTTGAAGTGTGTGTGTATGCTTGTGCACGCACGCCTGTGTGCACATAAGTGTTTGCACTTCCCCATATGCCATTGACCACTTCTGGGTGTCAAGTTTTCTCCTTCCACTGTGTAGATCCCAGAAATAGAACTCAGTTTGCCAGACTTGCTAGCAGGTACCTATTTCTCAGAGCCATCTTGCAAGCCCCGCTTTCTCCTAGCGATACAGTCCAGGACACTAGCCAGGGAATTGTGCCACCCACTCTTCCGACCTCATTAACCTAATCAAGATAATCCCCCACAGAGCTACTCAGAGGCCCATCTCCCATGGGTTTCTACATTCTTTCAAGTTAACAAAAACATACTAAGAGAGAAAAAATTGAGACCTTGTGGTAGGCTGAGTATTGTTCTAACTGTTGGATTGATTACTTCTTGGCTCACCAGACTTTTTGTTTTATGGATGAAGAGTCTGGAATGTAGATGTGTGTATGTATATGGTGTGTGTGTGTGTGTGTGTGTGTGTGTGTGTGTGTGTGTATGCAAGTAATCTGCCTAAGGCCATTCCTAACAGCAAATCTCAGAGTATGCGGCACAGGACAGTATGATACTTCCAGACACATGAAGACACAGTGTAACCATCGTACCTGAGGTACAGCTTAGGAGCAGAAGATACTGAACTAATGTTTATTGATTTTTATCAAAGGCAGTTTTTGGCCCTGCTGGAAGTGACTTTGTATCTGTGTATATCCTCTTTGCTCTCTGTATCTCTTGCAGTGAGTTACTAAAATGTAAACAAACCCTTCCACGTAAACAAACCCTTCTGCAGGAAACTCTGTATTCATTCACATTAGAGAACAGACTGGAATCAGATTCCCTGGGGCACAGGCACATGCTCTGTCCTCAAGAATTTGGGAGACATCACCCCATCACTTTCCTATACTGAATCTGCTTAGGTTTCTTGTTCTTATAGTATTTTGTCCTTTCTGTTTAAATCAGTGCTTCTCAACCTTCTAATACTGCAACCCTTTAATACAGTTCCTCATGTTATGGTGACCCCCAAACCATAAAATTATTTTTGTTGCTTCTTCATAACTGTAATTTTGCTACTGTTGTGACTCATGATGTAAATATCTGATTTGCAAGAGGATATCTGATATGTGACCCCTGTGAAAGGGTCATAGGACCCAGAAGTTGAGAACCACTTGGGTTAAATGCTTGAAAATGTCTGCCTTTGTTTTTTGTTTTGTTTTGTATTTTGGTGGTTTTTTTTTTGGGGGGGGTGGGTTTTTTGTTTGTTTGTTTTGGTTTTGTTTAGAGATGAATTCTCCTGCCTCAGCATCCCTCATGCTGGGGTGCTGGGCATGTGCACTGCACTCAGCTCTCTAACTTTGCTGTTGTAGCTTACCCAGCATGAGTCTCAATCCTGAGCATGTTGTAACCAACTCAGAAGACTTGGAATTCTGCATAGCTCAGTGTCTTTCCTAAGGAAAGGGACATTCTTTTATCTTTGAGTTTGTTTTTAATGTTTTGGATTTCCTGCTTTAGGGACCATTTACCTTATTTCCGCAGGCTTTGCCTTGACACATCCATCCATCCATCCACATCTCTGACATCTCTGTGTGTTCACTGGATCCCTAAACTTTCCTGTGTTAGCGGCGCCTGTCAGCCAGGCCTGTCATCTCTTACTGTTGCCAGTGTATTTATAAATGCTATACAATGTTGCTGCCCATCTTAGCTTTAACTGTCAACTTGACACAGCTCAGAGACACCTGAGAGAGGACTCTTAATTGAGAGATTGCATCAGCATGTGGGCATGTCTGTGGGGAATGGTGTTGGTTTTAATCTGATGTAGGAGAGCCTAGCCCACTGTGGGTGACATGATTCCCTAGGCAGGTAGTATGAATGAGAAAGCAAGCCAAGTCTGAGTCTGCAAGCCTCCATGGTTTCTCCTTCCGGCTCCTTCAATGATGGACTGTGTGACCTGGGAGTGTGAGCTGGGGTAACCTTTCATCCCCTAAGTTGCTTTGGTCACATAGCAATAGGATGAAACCAGGACAGTCAGGATTCTCACTCCGTTACCTTTAGGACTGTTCTCTTTTTTATTATTTATTTGTTTTAACTAATTCAATTTAAGTGTCTTTTATTTAGGTAGTACTGGTATTCTCACCCAGGACCTGGCACCTGCTAACTGAGGTTTCTGCCACTAAACTACATTGCTAGCCCTAATTTTAGACTGAATGAAGTGATTGGGTTAAACTGATACAATATAACCTCTCCCTTTCCCGTCTTCAGATTCAACCTTCCCCTCTCACCCCAGGGCCCAGTGGTAGTAAAGTAGCTTTTTATGTTAATATCACCAGATTTGAATCCCTTTACAACTCTGTGCTTTGCATAAAAATTTAACAACTGCACACCGCCCCATTGTGTTGAAAGCTACTCAGAAGTGAGTCAGGATGGGCAGGAAAGGCTGCAGTGTGCAACCCCTGATCCCAGAAGCTTAACTTACCCGTGGGAGAAGGTTCTGCTTCCCAGTGTTCCCAGAGTCCTACGTGGAAGGAAGACACTGTTATTAGCTACATGACCCCTGCAGTGAATGGGAATTGTGATAAATTGACTGCCATACCTCACTACTTACCCTGGGAAGGGACCCCTGTCATGTCTGCTTGGTTTTCATTGGCCAATGTTGATTCCATGGAGACAGCTTCCAAGGCAGTGGAAAGCAGCCATATTGTGTGCCCAGAGAAGGAAAGCTAGGCTGTTACCTGGCAGATGATTTTAATGTCCACACTGCCAATGGTCTTCAATGCAGAGCTCATGACTCACCATGAACATCGGTTCCGCCATGCCATCTCTGTCTTCTGAGTTTGTGTGTGAGAGCCCTTGGGTGAGAAGGGATGGTGCACGCAGCAGCTGGCAACATCGTGTCTGTCACATGGTCACTGTGCCAGAGACACTGCCACCCACTACCATCTCATACTTGAAAACCTGACAATTCAAAAACCAGGGTAGTGAGAGGTTCAACTTGTCCAATGTCCTGCTAGTGAGCCAGGGGGTCAGAACTTAAAACACTCCAGCTCTTCCTCACTGTCATAGTGGATGGAACACGGTCTATGACACACGGTGAGCTTTGACTCAGCTGGTTTGTGTTCTGCTGGAACACTCATACACTCAGTAGCTTTTCTTTCTTGTCTTCCTTCCCTCCCTCCCTCCCTCCCTCCCTCCCTCCCTCCTTCCTTCCTTCCTTCCTTCTATATTTTGATAAAGGGTCTCCAGTAGCACATGCTGGCTTCAGACTCTGCCCACATCTCTGCTGTGCTGAGGGTGGAGCCTAGGCTGCCTTCCTTCCTGCTATAAACAATCTAGCAGCTGAACCACATCTCCACACATACTTGTATAAGTATGTCTCTCATCTGTTGGCTTTGGAAAAGCATGACCTCACTCGGAATAAAGCCCTGAGCTGTCCTAAGTAAACATCACTGAGTCCCAGTGACCCACTGGTATCTTACATGTGTGGGAAACACACTTGACTATATGTAACAGAAAAGGCAAAATAAAAACAACGATCCTGGCACAGTTACAGCTGGATAAATTTGTGTGGCTTGTCTTATTAAAACTGCATGATCTTATGCCCTGGAACATCTCCCCCACCGCCTTCTTCCTCCTCCTCTTCTTTTTCTTCTTTTCTTGACACAGGGTTTCTCTGTGTATCCCTGGTTGTCCTGAAACTCACTCTGTAGACCAATCTGATTCCTTGAACTCAGAGGTCCATTTGCCTCTGCCTCCCTGGTGCTGGGATTAGAGGCATGTGCCACCACTGCCTAGCAACATTTCTCTTTTTTTTTCTACAAGGCCACAGATTTCATACAACCACCTTGGTTAATAAAAATTCACAAGAATCTGGTAGCCTTTCAGGCTCTCCCACTGAAAAGACACAAGGAAAGGAAGTGTGTGATGGGCCCCTGGCTGGAAATGGTGGTTGCCTTTGATGCAGACAAGGTGAGTTGGGATGCTTGGTCTGCATCAGAGAGGCCCTCCCCTTCCTTCTCCCTGTGCAGCATCACTGTAGCACTGGAGAGAAGGAGGCAGAGCTGACCTGCATTCTGGGCCATGAGACACACACAACAGAGCTTGAGTAGAGGAAAGGGAGAGCACAGCATGCTTACTTGTCTGCTGTGTGCACGAGAGGAAGAAAAGCACCACTGAGTGGGGCAGGAAGTGCCAAGGCCCTGAGGTTGGGACATGCTCGACAAATCAAAGAGGCAGGAAGGAGGTCAAGGACCAAGTTTCTGCTCTACCACACCGGTCTTCGCAGCTGTCCAGTCTGAGCCTCCATGTTCCGGTGAGAAGCAATTACAGACATAACTGGTTTGACCTCCGTGTGATGAGTGCTCTCCACTTTGTAACTCTGTGAGGTTGAGGGGTGCTGGAGGAGGAAAGTCAACCTTTAGCAGAAAATAGGAAACACTTCATTCGAGGGTTTTTCTTTGGAGGTGGGTC